CCGCAGGCCGGGGCTGAGGGGGGACCCCGGCTGGGTGGGAGGGGCCGCGTGTTCCCCTGAGCCCCGCGGGAGGTTCGGATTGAGAGTTCGGGAGTCTCCGCTCCCCCGGTACCTGTGGCCTGGCTTCCCCGGACAGCGGGGTTAGGGAAGTGTCTGGATACACACATTCATGTGTGAGGTAGTAATTTAGAATAAACAGGATGTTTGTCAGGCTCCAGTCATAAAGTTATGCTAATTGCCCCTCAGAGTTCCTCTGCTGCTTCTCTTGGGTAAATTTGTAACTGATAGTTATTGGCTACAGTGTTTTATTTACAGAAAAGCTATTTTTAATTACTTGATTCTTTGAGTGAAGAAAGTAAGATGCTGTGTTGATGAATAAGTAGAAACTTTTGTGGAGTTATTTCAGCCAGGAGAGAGCTGTTGGATGACTTTTTAAGAAAACATCCTCAAATGCTTAGGATATTTCTGTAAAGCTAAATCGGACAGGGTATTTTTAACCAATCTTACTGAATTTCTGTGCTGGTCAAGGGTCTTACACATTTTCCTTTTGATTTTTTTGCTGTTCTGTGTAAAGCTATTTGTATTTCTAAGATTTGACACAACTTGTTTAGCAGTGTGTGTATATTCATCAGTATTCTGGTTTTTTTATCCATGCAGCTGGATTGAGAATCATCTGGAGGAGAAATACATTTCACGTGAAGCTCTTCACTTCAGAATCTATTATCTATCTTAAGTCAACTTATTTTTGCATACTTATAATTTTATGTAGCTGCTAAATACAGACCATGCCTAGCAGAATGGGCTCCAAAATTGACCTGAACAAAGATTTCATCAGAGTAAAAACACACTACAGTGGGTAAGTCAGTGTGTCCTTTCTTCTGTGTTGTGACCTGTCTATTTTTGAAGCATATTGAGCAGGAGTTTGTGGTCTGACCTAGTGATAGAGTAACCAGGGCTTTGATAGATTTGTAATTAATATCACATCAGACAGATAAACTTCTGAGCTATTAAAATACCAGTCACACTCCTGCAACGTGCAGATCAAGAAGAAAAGTTAATTTAGTCTTGTCTCAGAACAGGAGAAAATGTGCATAACTGACAAACCCACAGTTATTGTGAGTTGATGGGTTATTGATTCCCACAGTCACAGCCAGGTCTAGATCCATCTTCTGTATCCAGATGCAGTTATTACATTTTATCCTGTCTATAATCAGCATGTTATGGTCCTTTATGACTTCACTCAGTTGTCAGTGTAAACAGGAAGGTTTTATTGCAGCAACATGAAATTTGAGTTTTCAGGGATGTTTGTTCTAATTGGTTTGCTGCCACTCTGAGGACCTTGTAAAATAATGCTTTAGTCTCTCGTGTCTTCCTTCAAGGCCTGAGTTTAAGGCATTTGAGAAGTTAAATATTTGGCCCAAGTAGATCCTTAAACTTGGTTGGAAGTACTTAGACGGAACTTGTTGGCATTTAATATGTGACTTGAGTGATCTTTTCTGATGTTTTACTGTTAAGTAAGTAAATGTGTCTACTGCTGTGCATGTTTTAAATTATGGTGTAGAAAAAGGCTGTTTTACATTAAATGTGATGTAGTTTTGCAAGTCACTTCACAAATTTTATTGAAAACAAAATGTTTTCTTTTTAAACGTACCTATTTGTCTGTGCCATGTAGTTCGAAGTCCTGAATTTAGAGTTCTAGAGCAATTAAATTAATGAGGTAATGCAACGGGAGGGCTGCCTCAACTCTGTAAGGGAAGGCACTACAAACACCAGTAGAACTGTGTGTAAATAATTTGTGGTGGCTTGCTGGCATGTAGTGTTGATATAAGGAGTGTGTCTGTGGAACTTGTGTGCAGAACTGGGGGAGGTGGTAATAATTGTGTCAATGTTAGAAGTCAAGTAATTATTATTACGATGTTTTACAATAAACTA